CTACGTGGGAAAGGGTGGAGGAGAGTGACCATTTTTGGCCGGGGTAGTTGTGAAGCACCTCCTGTGCCCCTTCCACCCTCCAGCCCGAGCGCTTCCCAGGCCAAGAACGAAGCGGCTGCAGCAGCGGAGGGGTTGGGTGAAAACCTACAGCAGGCAGGAGGGTGAGGCCTCCGCTAACCTTGCAGGACTGCCCAGCGAAGGTCAGACCTACCCCACAGGTCTTGAGATCCCTGGTAGCTAAGATTCCCTCCAAGCAGGCCCCCAGGACCTACTTGGTGACTTGGCAGACGTGCTCACATCTGGGCAGGGTCACTAATGGCACTGAAAGCCTTTCAGTCCCTTCGAGGCGCTCAGAGAAGATGCTCCTCTCCCATCCTGCTCCCATTCCCACCTGCCCGCCTTTGCTGGAGGGGGTCTCTGTCATTACCGGTGGGAGAGAAGACCAGCACCCTCACCAGAGGGCTGCTTGTGAGAGTGTCAGCAGGGACAGAAACAGAGCACAGCATATTGCGGTAGGGCAACTCCCTAGGAAATCATGTTTCTTATTCTGATACACATTTCTTTTCTAAAATCGAGTTGATATCTGTAGCTCCTCATGGGAAGTCCTTACTTTCTGGGTATGCACCTCATTATTAGGGTGGATTATGGGGAGACATTCTCTTTAGATGGTGAAGGAGCCCAGGGATGATCCCTGTGAGAAACCACTCTAGGCTGAGACCAACATCTCGTCTCGTGTGAAGTGCAGGTCTTTCAGTGTGTAGGAAACTCTGTGAGGGAATGCCATTAAAAAAGTGAATTGTCTCTTCTGCACTCTAACCGTGTCCTCACCCACGCACTGAGCATCGCGGGGGTTTCTGACAACATTTTGCAGCTGAATATATTGAAAGAAGAACACTGGGAAAGGAAGAAGAGCAACCAAAATAGTGTCATCTTCTCAGGCTCGTTCTAGACCTTTTTTTTCCCTTTTCTTTGTTATTTCATTTTTCCCAAAACTCACTGTCCTCACAAGGACATCTCTGCTGGCACAAGTCCTAATGCAGATGCAGTTACATAAAAAAAGCCTATTCTATTTGGGAATGCGCGAAAGAACTCTTGTGTCTATCAACTGCAAACCTTCGCCAAGGCAGATGGGCTCCAATTCAAGCACATGTTTGCTAAAACAAAGGGAAGGGCTAAAGCACAATTTCCTTCGGTGTCAAAACTCACCTTCCTGTTAACGTGCAATATGTACAAAGTGTAACAGACCAAGATTGCTTATTTAAGCATCTTCAAAACAATGCTTTCTCTTTTCAGGTCTGCGACAGGTTGAAGTAGCTCTTCAATGCTATTTATTTATTTGTTCATGTCCCATCTCGTGCAGGTCCACCCCTGACAAAACACTTGACATACTGTTTCATAGTCATTTTAAGATGATTGAAAACCAAGCTGCCGTTGAAATGAATAATCCCGGCCTCCTCCTCTCCCTGCCTGCTGCCTCTCAGTCCTTGTCCCTTCCTGAGGTCAGCTCCAGCAATTGCACAGCTACACATCTCACACATTTGACTGTGAAGCCTCACTGCTCGCTGACAGCCAGGTAGCCTTCGGGTTAGCCAGGCCAGGGGGACATTGGGGCACAATCAGAGGTTCACTGACAACAAACAGCCCTGAAGAGTAAGTATCCACCAAGCAAGAATGCCCCATCTCCAAGCACAACTGCTCGAAACAGATGTCCCTGGCACCACAAGCCCTGTGTCAATAAGGACACGTGCCACTTTGGTCTAAGACGGGCAGCACCACTTAGTGCTACCAAAAAATCCTTCTTTCCTGAACCCATCCAAAGAATCTGTCTTTGGTTAAAGCTCGCTCTGGCTCAGTGTGAAAGGCAGTGCCAGGACCGTCACTTAGGCTGTTCCTCCCCAACGCCTTCATCACGTCCTCCCTCTGGCCACATCTGTATGTGGGCACAACTGCCAGGCAACAGCAGGCAGCAAAAGAGGGGATCCCAATGCCCCCTTCTTTCTCATCACTGATTGCTGGGCAGGCATCTGAGGAAAGCAACATGGTTATTTCTCAACCATCGTGATGCCCACGGTTAAGAAACGGAGCAAAACCACAGGGAGATCACTCCTTTTGCAGGATGCGGCATGGTTTTATCTCCTCAGAGGAGAAGGGATGGGAATTCAGAGCAATCATCTTGCTGTGGAGCTGCTTCCCTTCTATGGACTGGAGCATCGCTCCCGCTCTCAGGCAGCACTGCGGTGCTCCAGCCAGTCGCACATCCCCTTGTCCCAAAGAGCTGGGATTTTAAAAGTACACAGGCCGTGAATGGAGCAGCTGGCTGGCTGATGGCTGATGCTCTGCTGGCTCTAGGCGTGGGGGGGGGAAACTTCAGTCATCCAGCAATTGGCGGTTCCAGCAGAGAGTAAAGTCAGTTGCTATTTTAGGGAAAGGAAAGGCAACTGTTCCCTGGGGGGAATGACTGCACTAGCTCAGCACCAGGAATAGGCTAAGATTTTTTTTTTTTCCTTCATTTTTTTCCCCCTACACTTCAGGAAAAGCGAACACACAATGTTCGTTCGCAGGGATCGTTTCCTGAACATGATGTGTGCTGGCTGTCCCGCAGGTCACTTTCCAGTGTGTCACATCCTTCTGCACGAGGGAGAGCAGGAAATGGCAAACTCCCAGTATGAGGCAAAGCATTCCCATCGCAGCAATTGGTCCGCGGGAGCTATAAATTGGTCTCCTCCAGAAACAGATCAAAATTTGTCTTTGGGGAGGTCAGCTGGAACCTAAAGGTAAGTTTGAACCAGTATTTTTTGGAGTCTCTCTGTCTACTGTATTAGGAAAGCGTTTGCAGGTTTTGGACTAATGTATACCTTTATTGTTGGGGAGATTTTTCTCTAGAGCAGGAGTTGGTTTTGTTTTCCTTTATGCTGGTATAAATCAGTGTATTCAAAAGACATGCCTCTGTATGGCTTATGCTATATGTTGAATGACTGTTCTACCAACAGCAGTGAGATGGCTGCTGTTATTACCCGAGACTGTTCTCAGCAAGAAAATTGGCAGAACAAATTGTTAAGAGGCTACAGGAATCGATATATTTAATGATCATTGTATCGATCTGTTGTTAAGTTATTGATGACATGCTCATTGGTCATTTCAATGCCAGTGCCCATTTAGTTCAGTGTTAGTCCTTGTGCTTTCAGCTTCGTTTCTGATTATAGTGTAAAAAAAAAGAGGACACTGCCTCCAGCTGAGAAAAGCACAATGTACTAAGTGGCTCAAATGGTCCGATGATACCAAGAGAGACTGGGGTCGTTGTTCTGAAGGGCACAGGAGGAGGCTCTAAAGGATCCTGCATGAGATGGATCAGGACAAGTGCAAGGGAAAAAAATTGCAGTGAGAATTATTTACTTACACACTTCAGGATGGAAAGACTCTTCACGCTAGAAGGTTTCCTCCTCCTGACACACAGGAATTCTGCAGAATGAATGTCCCAGGGTTCCTAACTATATATCGTGCCCGTGTGAGGGACCAGGCACCTCCAGTTCACAGAGTACAGAAAAGTTAGAAGCGAAGAGGTGGCTGCAGCAATGGATAGTTTTGCTTAGTTGGCTCTGGGACAGGGTCTTTCTGCTACAGAGACTTCTTTCGGCTGTGATGGCATTATGGACTGCAAACAGCTGCTTAGCTCTACGGCTAGACCTTGCGAGGTGCAGAGGCAGCCCGGCCTTGTGCACAGTGCCGTGTTGTGGAGCACAAAAGCCCGGCTCCCACCAGCCAAGTGGTGATGCTACTTCATTCCTGTTGCCTCCTTTGCCTCAGTTGCCCTAGACGTGAGTAGGGTTAAGGATGCTGGCTTCCTTTGTAAAGCGCTTTGCAGCCCTCCAGCAACCTGCAAATGCTTATTGGAACGTTTCTTTCTACCCTTGTGACAAAGAATATTGAGAGCAAATAGAGATTGCCTAGCACCGAAACCCTGAAGATTCACCCTCTTGAAGGGAAGATGCTCTCCTACTATCTTGCCTGGGGAGGTTGCCATAGCCAGCAGTTTTCAAATCTTTTTTACTCCCAGGCCCCTGTATTTCCCCAGTTCCCCCATCGTCAAGGGAGTGTGCACTGAAAGTGGGCTTGCTTTTCTGATGCGCCCCTCATGAACCTTTTAAATGAAGTTCATAGGCCCCCCTGCCACTGTCACTGGGGATCCACCACCACAGGTTGGCCTAACCACCACAGAACAAGGGTTCCCATCTTTGTCCAGACCCTGATGCCAGGTTACAATACGAAAAAAATGCTGGAGGACCTTGAGTTGCTTAGGCTTAAAGAAAGGAAGGAGGTTCACAATACCCATCTGAGGCATCAATGAGCTTCTCACCACCTAGATGGAAAAGCCAGACCTTGACTTCCCTCAGCAGCTTCCCTCTGTCCTCCTGCAATGGGAAGTGACCCCTAAAGAGCAACCTGGGATGGGTGGCTTTCACCTCCTTAGAGCCTGGCCTTTCTTGTGAAAGATACCCTTAAATATTGCAGATCCTCTGGATCCCGTTACGGGGACAACACATTAGTTCTGGCAGCATTACCACTCTGGGCACTGAGTCATTTAATCTCAAGGGAATTTCTGTCCCCGGGGTTGTAAGGGAGGTTTTGTGTCTTCACAGAGGTGATAACAACAGCACCTCTGACCCCCGCCTCTAAGATATTTTAGTCTTCTCAGGGAACACAAAAAACTTAAAAGTTCTTCTGTCTGAAAGTTAGCTACAGTGGAATACGGTAATTAAATGTACACGTGTGTACATGCACGAGTATGTGTGTAGGTGCCCGAGTGCGTGTGTACGTGAGTGTGTACGTGTGTGCAGACAGCAAATCTTTCGTGTAGCTGGATGAAGCAAAAAAAAAAAAATAAAAAATTGGCTGGATGCCATCCCTGAAATGGCAGTCCGGGCTGAGCATGTCTCATGGTGGTTTGTTTTTTATTTTAACAAAAATCACAACCCAGCCTTTTCTGTTCCTGGACAGAGGCCATGGAGAGAAACGGCGCTGCCCTTCCCCAAACGCTGGACCCCACGCACCACTTCCACAGAGCGCTGCTGGATCAGAGACGGAGGCTGCGTGGCCAAATCGCTCACCTTCACAAGGCGGCTCGTAAACTCAACAAGCTCCGCAAAAGGTCCCTGATTGCCAACGTCAGCGGGAGCACCCTGACCGCCGCCGGAGCAGTCACAGCCATCGTGGGGCTGTCCCTGAGCCCGGCCACGCTGGGACTGTGGGGCTGGGCCTGGCCACGGCCGGGGGGGCCGTCAGCATCACCTCCGATCTCTCCTTAGTGCTCTGCAATTCCCGGGAGGTGAGGAAGGTGCAGGAAATCGCAATGACTTGTCGGAAACAGATGAGGGAAATCCTCGGCTGTCTGGAGTTCCTTCACCGGGGGCAAGGCCCAGGGGACCCCGCGCTGCGCCAGTCGGAGAAGAGGGCCTCCATCTCGCTGTACAACTCCGTCTGCTTCATGGTCTTCTGCGGCTCCCACAGCTTCCTCGTGCCGGAATACTCAAAGGAGGTCACAAAAGTGAGCCAGGCCGTGCTGAAGGCCAAAATCCAGAAGCTGGCTGCCAACCTCGAGACCTGCACCAGGGCAATGGATGAAGTCTGTGAACTTCTTGAGTCCAGGATAGAGCGTTCCCCACACGTGAGGGGACTCAAACTGGGTGCTAAATCCACTGCTGAGATCCCAAGACCATCCAGCTGAAACAGTGTTTGCTCCATAATTAAAACCGGGCTTGGAGACATTACGTTACTAATTGTCACCGTTAGCTACCCATTGCTATCGTAATATCAGTGGTGCTAACCCACACAGGTGCGCACATCTCTCGTGTGCCTTATCCATATGTGAACACAAACTCCGTCCTGCTAGGAAGCTAAAGCTCACACACGCACGCACGCACACACCCATCGCCAACTGACAGCAGCCGCCTGATTCAGGCTGGAGGTTGTGATGGACACACGGACTGTGTGTCCCCCGCAGCAGATCCCGGAGCCTGAAGGCAGGGGTAGGTGGCCATTCCTCACGTTTCCCCAGCCATCTCCCCAGCTCTGCTTCCCCAAGGCAGCGAAAAGAAGCGGGTCAGGAGACTGATGAAATCCCTGCAGTCCTGGTGCTGACCGAACCTGGTTTGTAAATAACTTACGAATCTACGAGTGGTAAAAGGGCTGGGGTACTCTCAAAAAGCCAGCAGCTGCCAGTTTCCAGTAGGGTACAGCCCCATTACCACGGTACATCTGGAAAGGCTGTTGAAGGAAGCAGCTCCAAATATGACGTGGCTATGGATGGCTCATCATCCCAGGGTGAAACAGCAGGGCCAGAAATTGTTACCCCTTTTGAAGAAACTTCTCCAGGCTGAGAACCGTGATGTTTGTGTTCTATTTATTTACATAGGATTATTTTAAGGTTTTGATATTGTATTTAAAGATGGTTGGGTTGTTTTTTTTTCTTCTTTTAAAAAGGAGGCCTCTGCTCCAAAGGAAAGCAGCTGTTCTTAGAGGAAAAGCAAGTCTGTGGCATGTGAGAGCAAGTTACCTGTTCTTTGGCTGTGAGGGAGGGCAAGTCCCTGTCAGAAAAGGAAAGGATGGCCTGAATGCTAGTAGTCATAAAATAGGTGAAACGTGGTCAACCAGTGACGGCAGATCTTAGGAACCAAAACAAGGAGATGGACAGGTCAGTGACCCTGGGACCAGAGCCTGCCTTGGGGCACTGGTGGAAGAAAGCATTTATACCTCTTGCAGCAGGGAGGGAGGCATGGGTTGGTGTTACTGGTCTGAGCTGGGGCTCAGCTGTGGTGGGAGCACATCCCAGAGGCAGAGGTGCCGCTCTCCGTGCAGCCAAGCAGCCTGTGAGACCCATAGCAGCTTGTCTGTGAGGGAGGAGGCAGCACTCGTGGAGAGCCACACATCCTCTTAGCAACGCTTCCCAGGGAAGGCTTCACCTTAGCAAACTATATACTGGTACTAATACTCAGGAGGGGTGGAGAGGAGTAGCATGATTCAGTGGCAGAGCACTTATCAAGCAGGAGGAAGGACTGGGACCCTGTTTCAAGTGACTGTTCTGCTCAGCATGTGCTTCATGATTTTTGACCCCTCAGTGCCTCGGTTCTCTGTCTAAAGATGGGGACAGTAGCACTTCCCTACCTCACAAGGACGTTTCTGGGACAAATACTGAGAAGTGCTCAAGTACTGTGATGACAGGGATCATGTCAGTACCTGGAAGAGGTACAAGGAAGAGACCTCAGAAACTAGCTTGAGGCAACCAGAGGAGTTCAGGCAGGGATAATTCCACCTCCACAAGTGTGCCCCAGGGGATAAGGGAAATTTCCCTGCAGATGCATGAATCAAAAAGATTAGAAAAACCCACTCTGTAATTCTGTGACACTGAGCAAACTCTTAGGAAGGGCAACACTCCATCTTGCAAAGCTTGCATCCTTGTCCTTTTAGTCTCTTCCTCTCATGACATCAACATTTGGGTTTACATATAAGAAGAACAAAAGTTTTGGTCCCTCAGAGTGTGAACCAGATGCTTGTAATGCCCGTGCCTGTTTGCCAGAAATGAACAAGTACACTTGGTTCGATTAAATGAATATGAAACGCTTTTGTGTCAGTGTCTCTCTGCACACCTGCACGGGACCACATCCCTGTCCTCTGGCTCACCCTGCTCCATTTTATGCTCCAGGCACTGGAGCCAGAGAATCAATGAATGAAAAGTGAGGTTATCAGCTCCATGCCACCCAGCTGGCATTTGTGTATGAATGTGTGCGTTTACGTCCGTGTGAGTGCATATCATGGTGTGCACATTAGCCCGCGTACGCTGTGCATGTTGGTCTCTGACATGGAAACACTGAGGTGCACATGTGTGAGCACGTAAGTGTGTTTTTGGAGGCAGACACGATGCGAAATTTTTCCTCGTGCTCCAGCATATCACCAGCTAACTCCACCAGATCAGTTACCGCTTTACCATGCTTCTGAAATAGTTGGTTCTGTCACCACAGAGAAGATGATGTAACATACACTTCTACCTCCTCCTCAGTTTTCTGGCAATGCAGCTTTGTCCACACATCCACACACAGGGAACAACACAGGAACAATAGCAGCTCTGAACGGACTAATCTGGCCGGCAGAAGGATCTGAATTTGATAGCTTAGAGCTTCTTGAGGGTTGGTTTGCTCCGCTCAGCACAGTCCTGTGCTGCAACCAGAGCCACTCTTCCAGCAGCTGGGGTCAAATCAGATATGTTTGCTTCCAGTCTTAGCCACACAAGCAAATAGTCCTGGTTCTGCTCTATTTTTCCCTAGGCTAACCCTTTTACTCCAAGTCAGGATTTGGGTTGTTGCACAGTGCTGCTGTGTGAGTGTAATTGAGCCCAAGGCACCACATTCTCCTGGCCAGGTCTCAGCCATTCCCCTCTCTGGGTTTGTTTGCTAGGAATGCAAAGGGGGGCTCAGCAGAGAGGGGCCACAGGCTGGAAGGCTGCAATCCTACACAAGACAGAGGAGCTGTGCAACTGACTTTGCTCCAAAACCCATCCAGTGCTCTTGCACACTTTCTAAGCTGGGCGGTCCTGTGAATCTAAGCCTGTGCCCTCACACCTTGGCTACACTTGATCCAGCAGCCAGCAGACAGGGCAGGAGGTGGTCGGATGCTCCTCACCCAGCTCCAGGCATGCCGTCTTGTCTCCTCCCGTGCAGTGACCACTGAATCTCATGTGATAGCCTGGGGAGGCAGCTTTGGGAGCTGTGCTTACTCCTTTTACTCACTGAAACAGCTCACTGCTGGGTCAGATGAGCACCAGAGCTGGTACCACGAAAGCACCAGAAGCAAGTGACCTGGGCTGGGACAAGGGTGCACCCACTTCAGTATTAGTATTGGCTTAGTTCCAATATTGGGACTCCCTTAGAGTCACAAGCAACATTTGGGAGGAAGTGTCTCTGAAAAGCAGCTTTTTTTGCTAGTAGTTACGTTATTTACCCTTAAAAGTAGTAGCTGTGCTGGTGCTTCGGTAGCTAGGCAACATGGGGGAGAAGGCTACATGTGTGATTTGATGTTTAGCCTGGGCTGGCAGTTATGAAGCCTGGCCTCCTGATGTCATTTTCACTCCCCTTTTATTGAAACTGCTTCAGGGAGGAATGATTCACTGGTGAATTTTTTTTAAACATCATTTTAACAGAAAGTCCCATAGGATGTTTTGAAAGCATCATAAAAGGTGTCTACGACAAAGGATCCTGAGTACAGTCAGGGAGTCAGGATCTCCCAATAGCCTCCCCTCGAGGCATCCCCATGGGTAGACAGGACCATTTACCATTAACTGTGACCTACTATACACACTGTCCATCTGGTTTTATTACCTCCCTTATGCATTACATCTGCATGAAAATTCTGCTGCTGTGGATGCTCCCACCCTATCCCCCCTAAGGAAGACTGACCTTGTAACATGCAGTAGGGTTAGGAATACATTTGGTCAAAAGCCAAGTCTAAAAGCCCTGGAGTGAAAATTTCAAAATCCAGTATAATCTGCAGTGTCCTGTGCTGAAAAGCACAAAAAGGGAATCATCATTTAGAAGTGGTACTTATTTTATCACACATGAATGCTCCCAACAGCAGTTTAGGACAGGAGGAAACTTTTATTCAAATACATCTACTGACAACAGGGAATTACCCAAACTGGGATTTCAACAAAACAGAATTGCTCCACCCTGCTCCCCATCGAAATAGCACCTACCATGTTATATGGGCAATGAGTTCAACAAAGAATCACAAGCAGTGACTTCCCGTCACATCCCTGGCTCCATTTCCTGAGGCATCCCAGGGACCCCTACAAAGATTCATGTCTAAGTACCGGCCAGGCTTGACCCTTAGCACCGATGATATTTAGCAAGATCATGGCTCAGGCTGCTGTAATTTTTGAAACATATGGTCATAACTAGCATCTACACTGGGGGTTTCTTGCTGGGTGTTTTTTTTTATTATTATTAATTATTTTCAAAATCATTGCTTCTGAGCACAGTGAGATGCAGCAGTTTCATTTCCACTGCTGCCCAGCGAATTGTTTCAGGTTTCCTCTCCTTTCCCTGTCACGCAGAGAGTTTGTTCGGATTTCCTCTCACTTTCCTCATTGTTCTGGGAGCAGAGGAAATGGCACGCTTGGAATCCAGTGACAGATGCTCAGGTATGTCAGTGTTTCCACTGCGAGCACACCCAGCCAGGCTTCCCAAACAGCAAGAGAGGGAGGCCTGCTCAGAAACGCAGTCACGAGTTCCCATTTTAAAGCCTGAGCTCTTGCATATGTTAGCATCCTTTTCCCTAAATTAAGAGGTTCCCCTAGCTGCAAGGTTGCTCTGCTGCAATCAGCATCAGGACTACAGATCAGAGAGGACGCACGCAGACCAGATGGAAGGCGATGAGCTCAGGAACTCATGAGTGATGCTATTTTGCTGCTGGCCTGAGTCACAACACCAGCAATCAAGAGAGCTGGGGGAGTGTTTGCATCTGTTCCCATCCCGTTCTCTCCTTTCATGCTACGAGTTGCTACAGTTCAGTTTATGTACTTTTGGCACTTTAAAGTTGCACATTGGCAATCACCATAAACAGGAAAACAAGGTGGGACAATGACAGTTCTTGACTTTTCTTCTTTTCCCTTCACTAGTACTTCAAAGTGTTTCATACCAGCAGTTCTGAAGAAGTTAATTTGCTCTTTATGTGTAT